AAAACAGTCCAGTGGAGCCTGAGCGGTGGGTGTTGCCTTCTGACACACTTCCCATGATGCCAGGGGTGTGTGGCATATGCAAATAAGTTATGCGAATGAGTTATGCTAATGAGCTCCTGCACCTCTTTTTCTACGAAATGACCCCTGGTTCCCTCTAAGCTGTGGAGTCCTGTGAGCAAAAAGTCTACTTGGTGAGTGACTGGCGTTAAAGTTGTGAGCGGGCGATTTGGCCACTGCATAAATTAGTTTGCTCTGGAGCCGTCCTTCCTGAGCTGAGATAAAAATGTGTGAGCCGGAGGCTAAAAAACTGTGAGCTAGCTCACACTCACTCAGCTTAGAGGGGACACTGGTAGCGGTTGAGCAGTATATTAGCAGACAGCATAATGAAGTTTAACAGACTCAAGGACCAAACAGGAACAACGGGCTTAGTTTACATGGCTACCATTCGTTTGGGTTTAATTCCAGGGGAGAACGTTGATGGCCAGGGGTATCCACGCGGGTTGTTTTGTGAGCTCTAAGCGTCCTCTTCATTTACTCCTACCACAGTTAAGAGAAATTCTTGTTGGCAGATCCTTGCCTGTAAAATTTAGAAACACCACCGCCACCGCCAGTTTGGGGAGCATCGCACATGGGCGCCCGTGTGGGCGTCTGCGCTGCTGGTGCTCCTGTGCACAGGTAACGCCTTCCGCACGCACAGCTTCTCATCCCGTCTTGGAAAGAGTAGGATGCATCATGCGCCTTTGCCTTGTCTTCAAGGAGTCTCCAGCCACAAGGACCGAGTCGCCGCCGCCAGGTTTGTGGGAGCCCAATAACCAGAGGAGGAGGAAGAGGAGGACCAAAGAAAAGAGTGTAAATTCATTTTTGTTTGTCTGGGACATTGCACCGCTTTGACTTCATGGCTCCCATCTTGACCTGCTGGCCCCGTTTGTTACGGAATTCTCCTTTGAGGCATGCTAAGGCAAAGGGGAAGGGGACAGAGCCGCAATTTCCCCCCTCATCTCCCTCGACCGCTTTGTAGATAAGCTCTCCTCTCACCAGCTGTGACCTTGGAACGAAGCAAAAGTCCTGCCTTTCACCGATGCTCAAGTGACATTAAGTCCGTAGCCGTTGCATTAGCTGTTCATGCGTGTTAGCACGTTAATGCCCAACCGACGGCCCGGAAAGCTCATCACATTTCCCTGGGGCAGCAAAGGTATTGCTTGTATGTTTTGGCTGATGTCATCACGATCATATTGGGGGGGGGAAGTGACATTAAGTCCGTAGCCGTTGCATTAGCTGTTCATGCGTGTTAGCACGTTAATGCCCAACCGACGGCCCGGAAAGCTCATCACATTTCCCTGGGGCAGCAAAGGTATTGCTTGTATGTTTTGGCTGATGTCATCACGATCATACGGGGGGGGGG